AGGGCAGGGCGGGCTCTTTCAGGTGGGAAGGTGCTCCCCTGCAGCTGAGGGTTGGTGAGCATCTTCCTGGGGCGAGCTGTGTGTGTGTCACACGCCCAGGATTGAGTTCACCTTCCCCTAAGGTTGGAGAAGCAGCGCCCTCTGTTAGGTACGTGTTAGGGCTCGGGAAGGAAAAACACGCCTCACTTTTCACTAAATAAACTCTATGATCGATTGGAGTTCCATTTAAAGTTTGTCAGTTAGGAATAAAGCAATATCCAGCCTTTCCAGGGGCTTCCAGGCCTGCCAGCCTTCTGAAAGTGCACTCCTGGTGTTTAATAGGGCAGTAAGTGACTTGTTTGCATGATTTATTATTCATAGAATTAATGTCTTTGACAATTGCCCCAAGAAGAGGGAAGACACTGAAAATCCCAACATTCCTGAGCAGAGTGGGATGGAAGGGTCATGGGAACAAAGAAACAGAGGTTTATTTTAAAGTGTGTTGGGGAAGCTGGAGGGGGGGGAAATGGCTTTTGAGTTTGGTTTCTAATCTGCTTGGCTTGGATGCTACCAATACACATCCAGTGTCAGGGCTGACTGTTGCTCTGCCAACCAAAAAGCGGAACAAATTGGGATGCTCCTCTCTGAACAGTTACAGATGTAGCCAGGCAGATGCAAACAGCTTTTCTCTCTGCGGCTGCTGGTGGTTGCTGAACTGGTTTTGGTTGTGTTTTTTTTCTTCACAGTGCAAACCAAAGGCCAGGACTCCACTGCGTTCAGGAGTCTTTCCCCCTCCAACTACGAGTGCTTTTCAAACTGGGATTAATATCAACATAGTGGGCTAAATGCTGTGGTGAGCCTGAGGCTTCACCTCTCCACCAAAGTCCCTTGTAAGCGGTCAAAGAAAGTACTTAGAGCCCTGGTTCTGCAATGGGGTGCATTTAGGAAGAGCCTTTTCACTACCTCAGAGTGCTGCTGAAGCCAGTGGGAATCTGTCCAGGCATAATAGACCACCCATGTGGAGCTGGGCCTAAATGTTTGAAGCTCATTCCTCCACTTCCTACTCACGGAAAACTCCCAGTGACTTTGATATCTCTGTGGGGAGTTCAGGATCGGGCCTTGGGTGAAGTGATTTACAACCTCACTAAGTCAGCATTGCCATTTGCACTCCCAGGCTGCAAGTGCCACCCTGTCCCTCTGTCTGCTGTCACCCAAAATTGCCACCCAGCAGCTCATGGGACTTGTCTCCACTCCAACGTGTTCTCCTCCTCCTCTCCTCTGGGGAAGGGAAAGGGAGTGAGGTAGCAACAGTGCCCTTAATAAAGACATTAGCAGTCAAGGGGAGCTGAGGTCCTACCAGACCACCTACATCTTGCTCCCACCTCCATTCAAGATGCTCAGTAAAGCTGTTCCAAATTTGGCTTCCAAAAAAGAGGGCCTGAGCTGGCTTTCTAGAAATCTGGATACTTTGCCTTAAGCAAAGGAGGAGTTTCCTCAGAGGTCACAGCTTTTCTGCTGGTTCACTTCTCTGCTTCTGGTCTCCAGATCTGAAATTTGCTCCAAATGACTTTCCCAGGGTTTCTTTTATCACACGTACTGCAGCCTTTAGCAGCCACTCCAACAGCCTCTCACAGCCTGTATGGGTGCCACTGGGAAGCCTCTCTTTTCAGCAG